ATTTTGCGGCCCCGGCCTGTAAAAACCTGCTCGGTCCCCAAATTACGATGACAGCAAAACGTAACTTCCAGCCACCAATTAACGTATGTAATACAGCCAAAAACATCACTCTTTGCCAGTACTGTAATTCCTAAATTATGCAATGCAATTAAGAGTTTTTTGTGTGACACACTGTCAAAAGCCCTAGTCAAGTCAAGAAATATACCAACCACTTTTTGTCCTTTCTCTACTGAATCTATTATTGATTGAATGAATTCTATACCAGCTGATATGGTGTATTTTCCTTTTTGGAAACCGTGCTGCTCTTTATCCAACAAATTGTTTATGGTTGCTATCTTTAAGCGGCCCACACGCATGTGCCTTGCGTGGCTCGTGGTGAGGTGACTGTGAGCGGCTCTAGGCACATGTGCGATTCAATTGGTAGCCACACAGTAAAGACACATGCGCGCGTACCCCCGTCTTTGACCATGCAAATAGTGGGCTATAACAGCAAATTTAACATTTATATTGAAATCATTCGAATAAACTCCTTTGTATCGTCACCATATTAATTTTTACTATTTTTTCATTTTGCATTTTTTTAACATGGACATTTTTTTAGAGTTGCAAGCTGAGTCACTAAAGAATAAAATTTGCCTTAAAAAAAAACAGATTTGATTATACACTACTAATTAATTGGGTAGTTATTAGTTGTATGTATTATGGTTTTGGGTTTTCGGGAAATAAGTTATTAAAGAATATGAGGGTTGTATTATTTAATATAATGGTATAATGGTCGTATTTTGAGTATGAGGGTTATAGACTTAGATTTAGTTAGTATATTTGGTTCACATCGATATTAATATCTCAAAGAGTTAATTTCAGTCTTCACAAACGTATCGTCACTGTCAGGAAACACCCTTGCATTTCGTTATCAATAGCTCCATAATTTCTTTTCTCATTTATTTGTTTTGAAAAGTTTGCTCTTTCCACGTCCCAAGAACACGTTTGTGATCTATAAAGCTCAATAAAGTCAGACCAAATCTTTCTTATGCCAGGACATCTTAACCGCACAACAAAGAAGTCAATAATAACCAAACAACAAGGACAAATAAAATGCAACACGTTGGGCAGTAGTTAGTGTACACTGTGCCACGCAGGCGCAGACCTTGTAGTTCCCGATTTACAGTATATGCAGCTATGGTTTGTACTGCTAGTTCACGAACATGTGCCTCGGTTTCCCACAGACTGGCGCGCATCATAACAAGCTCGCGCACTTGTGAGGATGCTCGAAGGTCCGGCGGCAGGCACCAGGCACCTCGCATGCGCGTCGCAAGCATGGGCACATTTACCTACACATTGAGGCGCATGCGCGTCGAGCTGTTCGCGTGTCACATGTGCGCGCACAAGCGCCCTAGTGTGTGGGCCGCTTTAGTTTATTCGGATAAATACTTGATATTAAAGAGGAATTTATTAAATGTACAAGTAGTTTTAAAATACAGTACTAGGAAGAGTTTTTTTTTTATGATATCAATGGAAATTTCGTCATATCTCGTTGAGAACTTTGTATTTTCAAAAGAAATAATAATTTTCTTTACGTCTTCTTCAGTCACTAAATGAAATTTTAAACGCGGTTTTTATCGGAATTTTTATTTAGTTGTGTAGATTCTGTACTTTGAGGAATCTTTGGCAAAACTGAATCTTCAACTACAGAGACAAAAAATTGATTGAAAGCATTAGCAACTTCAATTGGATCTGTTGATATTTTTCCAGATTGTACAATAGATTTATTCGAAGTAAGTTGATTCTTTCTTAACTTCTGTTCTAATTATGTTCCAGGTGGTTTTTGTTTTATTTTTTGAATTCATAATTATACTATCAAAAAAATTACTTTTGTCGTTGAAAATACATCTTTTCAGATCCTTCTTCAAATCTTAACTCGTACCTTAGTATTTTCATTTTTACTTAACCTGAAGCTTTGTTCCAATCTAATAATTTCATTTTTCTTAAGAACGATCTCATCGGTTATCCATTAATTACTTTTATCTTTTTCTATCTTATCCATTATTTTAGGGAAACAGTTGTCAAAATTGTACAAATATATTTCTAGAAAAACATCATACTTTGCCTCTACTGGGGATTGATAAACCTCATTGATAATACCATTGACTATTGGATAAAGAAGGTAATACGTAACTGGTAATACGTTAACTTTGCTAAAATAACTTATTTACCTGTAGTGGTGTTGTTTACAGGCTGAGACCTCGACTTATCTACAAATAACACCAAGAGACACAAACACACAATCCTCGAATCCATCTTGTCCAACTATAACTCCTGAACTGAAAAGTGTTGTCTAGCTTTACTTGTACTTTGTTCCTAAGATAGCATTGTATCACATTTGACCTTTCGATAAAGACTTTGTATGTTTGCATTTTATTTACGAGTGTGACTAATGTAAAGAGACTTTGTATTGTTCGTGTTAGACTATTGTTGCTATCACGGGTGGTTATTTATTATAATATTTTCGGGGGGAGGAGTCCCTACATTAAATAGGTATTTTGGTCGAGTCTTTCGACCACTAGACGACGTATAGTCTACATTAGTTCGTTGCAACGAATTTTCAACTTGGCTGTGGACGCCAAGGAACTTAGATTCTGAACATGACGGAATGAAAATGATTGTTGTCTATGGAAATCTCCAAGTGTACTTTGTTTCCTTTGTTTCTTATAATAAACTAGCTGTAACCCGCGGGCTTTGCCCCGTTTAACTTCTTAATTTTCAAGATTATCTCGTTCGCATGGCTCAATCACGTCCTGGTTGAAGTTTGTTCGCTACGCTCACTCACCTTTAGGTTGGAGCTCGTTCGCTACGCTCACTCACCTTTAGGTTGGAGCTCGTTCGCTACGCTCACTGACCTTTAGGTTGGAGCTCGTTCGCTACGCTCACTCACCTTTAGGTTGGAGCTCGTTCGCTGCGCTCACTTGCCTTCAGGTTAGCTCGTTCGCTACGCTAACTCGCCTCCAGGTTGAAGTTCGTTCGCTACGCTCACTCACCTTTTGGTTGCAAATTAGCTGTTGTCATAAATGTAAAAGAAATAATAGTGCTGCACCCTGTTGGTAATCCTTGTAACTTTAATGCTATTGAACATCATAGAACAGAACCAACTTGTTTAATTGAAACAGCTGTTAAGATTCAATAATTCCATTTCTCATAAGGTTAACATGGGAAACTCCAGAGCCACTGGGGCGGAGCCCGAAAGGATTTTTGAAATAAGAATATGCCTATATGTTAATCGGGAATGTGAGCTATCATCATGCCAAATTTCAGTCCAATCCGACCAGTATTTTTCGAGTTTACTTTTCCCATACACACATACAGCAACCACCTCTTTTAGCGAATTTCCCATATAGGGAATAAGCTATTACCGTAGTACTCATGGTAAGACCTGGACGCGGGACCGATTTTTTTTTTCGTTTTGAGGTCCCTAGAGGCCAAAAACACCATCCGTTCAAATTCATATATATATATATATATATATATATATATATATATATATATATATATATGTGTGTGTGTGTGTCCGTCAGCACGATAACTCGAGCAAAAATGATCCGATTTTGATGAAATTTGGTACAAACGTGTAAACCTACGTCTATTCGAACGAGTTCGCGATCCAGCATGATAGGACCATGGGAACGGGTGTTTACGGGGGGTTTTATGGGGTAAAAATAGGTTTTCCCAATTTTGACCCAAAAAACATAAAATTTAGCAATTAATTTCCAAACCATTTTGTAGAGCTTCAAAAAACAAATAATTTAGTATATTGAAGCGTTATTATGCGCCTAATGGTTACGGAGAAAATTCAAAAAAATTGTAAATTTAAAATTCCCATGTTATTCTTATGGAGAATGAGTAAACTGTTGTAGTTTGCTTGTTTATGAACATATTTTGATCAAATTTGGAAAATGTTTTTATTTCTTACTAACTATTAACATTTTACAAAAAAAACAGTTTTACCCTCCCTGATGCAGCAAACCTAAGTACTTGTTAAACTAATTCTATTTAAATCGGGAATAAATGTTATATTTTTAAGTAGACATTTCAGTGTAAATCCAATCAGTCAAATGGAAATTCGCTTAGTCTGCAGGTTTGCTGCGGCGGGGGTATTTTATAATAGTATAGAAGATAGATAGATAGATTTGATCATTTGAGTTTTGTTATTGTTGACAAATAAGTTATTGCAGCTGAACTATAAAACCAATGTTATGGAGGTCCCACAAGCATGCTGAAAACAACGACAATGAGGTCAGCGAAGAGCACTCGTACTCGAACCCTAAGACCCAAGCACACAACTTGGCAGGTGCAGGTCATTGATAAAAGGATTAATAAGACTGGACCAAGCACCGGCTTGAATCCCAATGATCAAAGCTAACTGGGCCTGGGTCTAGTTTCGAACTACGCAGTACAATAGATTACCGGTACATCAGGCGAGCACTGTAACCACTCAGCTACCCAGCTTTCCACATCAGCCAAGCTATCAATGCAACTATTTAATGATTAAAGGTACCTACTTCTTAATGGAATAAATTCAATTACAAATATATGTACTTATCTCGTCAATAAAGCTATTGACAGTAGAACAATTTGCCTCAGCGGTAAAATATTGTTTAATTAGAATAAAATTATTGTTTTTTTTTCTATTCTTACAATATTCATGGATTGTTAGTTTTTGTGACAGTAAATCCTTTCTTTACACCAACATTCGTAGTATCGTTTCTAAGTTTGAATTTAATCAATATTCAACGCTCAACGTACACTATATACAGTATATCAATGCATTTTCAAGGTTACAAGTCTTTGAAAAAGTGATGAAACATTTCTTCAGCTTAGTGATTATTGGATTGACCAATAGGAAGATGCAAAGTGTGTGACGTTTGTAGCAATTTTCCCATGATGCAAACTGAGTGACGTTCAGATGTTGACACCTCAGCAGAAAGCAGAAGAATTCTTAGAGAAAGAGCAAAGAGAACATTGTAGAACATGGAACATGGAATACCTCTTCAAGATACCTCTTTTTCATGCAGTTTCCTACGACTTTACCATTATTTTGATTTAATTTTATGTGCGTGCAGATATTTGCGTTCCAACAGAGTTTTGTAAATTCCTATTAAGTTATTGGATTGTGGTTTTCATAGTTTTCTCACACCTAATCATAATGTTGTGTCCTAGAGGTGTTACAAAGACAATTGTACTAAAATCACCAGACTCAGACAGAGTTAGGGAAGTTATTGTCACATCCGTGTTGTTGCCAAAATCGGAAAACGAAAACAACAGGACATTTGTGAAATCAGAAAGTAATTGTGGTGACCTAGGCTCAGTTATGGAGAAGAGGACCTGTAAGAGAAGATTGGATCATCTCACACTGGAAGAAAAAATCCTGAGGAAGTAAGTGAAGAAGGGACTTTCACTGCTGTTGTTATGCTAGGCCTAGACCTCATACTAATTGCACAAGGCCGATTATACAAAGGGTGCTAGAGTTTTTAGGTTTGTTAGGGGCGCAAGGAAGAGAAGAATTCCCCCACAAAGTAAGGTTGGTGGGGAGGAGCGCAACCATCTCTCGGGTGCGGGTCCATAGCGCTTCACATGCCGACCGCAACTTAGGCCTGCAAATATCTTGTGGTGCAATGTCATTTTATGACTAAGTTAGTTACAGTATGCTTAAGGCCTAGGCCTAAGCAGAAGCTCCCAAACTCAGGCCTCAAGTTAGCCTATAATTGTTAATTTGAAACGTGTTTTAACTCACTTACTCTTGTCCTAGCCTCGCCCCTCTCCAACTTATACATAATGGTAATTTTGTGGCTAAATGTTCTATTATTTTGATTTTTGTTTTATCATGAATGTCTTCATTTCCTTTTTAAATTTTATAGGCCCTGAACTTCAGCTTTCTTCAGCTTGACTGTAGAATAATTGTAGGCTATGTCATTCCAGCTTAATCAGACTAATTAACAATATTTTTGTAGCATAACTCCAAAACAGGGTGTTAACACATTTTGTTTTTTGTTTCCAGGAAACTTAAAAATAGAGAAGCAGCTCAAACATCCAGGGATAGGAAAAAAGCTCGTCTAGAGGAGCTTGAAACCACAGTCGTCCAGCTTCAAAATGAGGTTTGTTAGAAGTTCATTTAGGCCTATCCAAACTCCAACAACTAAGATGAATTGCTAATTATTTGAATCACTCACAGAAAGAATTCAAGTTTAAAACACAGTAGCCTAGGCCTAATAAGAATTGTTTTTAAAGAAGGCAGAAGCGGTGATCATGGCAAAATCCAAAAACTTCTCTTGTCTTGCTGTCATGAAGCCATCATCATCGTCTCCTGCGGTCACAGATATATGCTCATCTTTTTTCGTGATCGTGGCGATCTTGCACATCACTCGTGTTTGTGTAGGCATGAACATCATTTTCCGCATTTGCAACAAAATCTTGAACCTCATCTGGAGTTTTGTAGATCATTAGGTTTCCCGTCTCCCATGGTCACAGAAAATCATAATTATCCTCCGCAATCATGGCAAAAGCGTGATTTTTTGGGTCCCAAAATCTTTGCGGATACATTCTGTGTTCGCTATTGGCTAGTAAAGCTCTGCTCAACTCGGCTTAATATTTGTTTTAAAATACCCCCAATTTTGGTAAAAAATCCAACAATCCAATTTCTTACCAGGCCTAAGTTACCCAAATTTGGTATGCTACTAACTGATTAGGACAATTAGAGTTCTTTAGGCTATTGTCAAAAAATCTTTGTTGCTAACAAATCTATGCCTGCAAATGATAAATAGGCTACAGTTTGACTTATGGTAACCATCATATTGATTGATGGAAGACAACCAAAGAATTAAAAAAAAAACTCTTGAAACCCTCAAGTCAAAAGAGAAGGTCTGTGTAATCTTTGTAGGCTAGTCATCATACAGTTCTAATGCTTGTTGGTTATTCCAAGGTCACATTGTGTTGCCTACATATCCTATTTTTTATGTGGATGTGCCAAACACCTAATTTTCACATTATGCTACATTGATTTAAATGCTATTAGTTAGACGGTTGGATTTCATTTGTTTTATTGTTCAAACAGAATGAGTCACTACATGAAGAAGTACGCAGCCTCAAGGATGAGCGAGAAACTTTGTTGAGAGAAAACGCTCGTCTCACGGAAGAGGTAATTAAGTTACCGTGTCACTATTCTACTGAGTTAAACACTGTTAAGTTGATTTAAATGGAAGTACACCTATACCAGTAATTATGTTTTTACATTATTAACTTTTTTGCCAATTGCCCATTCTGTCTAACGCACCTGTAGCTTATTTATTATAAAAGCTCCTTTAATTCACTGCTAAGGGAGATTTAAATTATAAAAATTACAATTACAGTAGAGCATCGAATCCCTGCTGAATCCTGGTCTTTGGAAGTGTCGGTTAACCAAAAGGAAGGAACAAAGAAAATATAAAAATTAAATATAGTGCTTATCACTAAACTTAGTTCAAAGAGTGACCTCTAGTCTACACACAGGTCTTCTGTGCTAGTGAGTAACTATCACTGGTGTAGCTAAAACTGCAAGAAATGCCAACGGGTGTCGCTACAATGGTGGTAGACGATCAAAATCAGAAACAAATTGATGTAAACATTTAATAATAAATTTAAATGCTATCAATAGTTTATTGAAATAAACTACCCCCACTATCATAACCCGAGCCCCCATTATTCATGCCCTCTCCGCTATCTGAAAGTCTAAATCCATAGCCTATATATAGTTTTAATTTCAGTCAGAAAACAATTGTTGTTAACAGACATTATAATAATATTAATCGAGAGTGTAGGCTATATACTGTAAATCAAACAATCAAACATTATATCTAATTTTTTTCGTCAAAGACCGATTGTCAGGAAAATGATTTATTTTAACTATCACCAATTATTTTAGATAAATCGACTCCCCACTCCTACTGTACAGTACACTCCCTCTTATCCGGACTCTTCGGGACCGAAGCCAGTCCGGATAACGGGTTTTCCAGTTTGACCGACGTCCCTAAAAACTTGTTAAAACAGACCTTTTAAATTATATACTGTAGCCTATATAGTATTTTACTTACATTTAGGAGAAAGTTGTATTTAGACACGTGATCACTGGTCTCAAATCTTTCCTACGAGAACAGTCGTTTCAGTACCGCCCACTTCCTGCTGATCTAGTCTGGTTATAAAAGCCAATGTGCTGATAAAAATTGTACGGTTAAAGAGATGTAATTTGGCCGAGTGGAGTGTAGTCCGGTTAAACCGATGTCCGGTTAACCCTTTGAGTGCCAACGTCCGGGGAACCGGACGTTTTTAAAACAAGCCAAAAGTGCCGACCGGACGTTTTTAGAACGAGCCAAAAGTGCCAACATCCGGCTGACCGGACGTTTCGTAATGATCGAACAGTTGTCATAACAACCGAATGGATACTCGGATTCTTTTAACCCATATATCAACATTGAGTCGAAAGTTACTAGATGCGATACATCGATTTTCGTTGGTCGAAATATCAAAAATTCGATTTTTACGAAATTTTAACCTAAAAATCGCCAGATCGCGCTCGGCATTTTTAGCGCGACCTTCGGGAAATATCATCGGCATTTTTTGAGCGTTACTTTTATTTCTCGCCTGGCACTCTAAGGGTTAAAAGGGGTCCGGATAAGAGGAAGTCTAACTGTATTCTCAAATAGTCTATGTAGGCATATTTTTAAGAGTGTGACCACATAAAATGATTGAGCTATAACACTTATAGTAAGTCAAATTATATACTGTAAATAAGTCAACAATGTGCTCAAGTTGTAAAAGGTTCAAGTTATATTTAATCTACATTGACACTTGTTGCAGGTCTGGAGATTGAGTGTTGGAGGTCCGGGCCCCGCAGGACCCGCAGTGTCCCCCCCTCTGCCGCAGGGAGCGCCCCCGCCTCACCGCTCAACTTCAGCCCTCCCCCCACCACCAGCCCCGCTACTAGCGACCCTACTGACAACCCTGTTGGTGACAGTGTTAGCAGCGTCCTCGACGACAACTGGGACTGGCTCGACGAGGTTCCTCTCCATACTCCAGCTGTTGAAGAGCTTGAGCAACTCGCCAACTCTCTGTTTGCTGAAGCTAACAAAGCACAAGTAGGTTATCAATTAGTTTATGAAAATATATTTTAAGACCTATAACTCTTCAAATTTGTTTTTAAAGATTTGTTTCTGCCTAGAGATATTAATTGGAGCCTATTGTACATTGCAGCTTATCCATTTTCTAGTAACGGTAGGGCCTACAACTAAATTTCATAATTTTTAATCTTCACTCCAGTTATTTGTGTATTAGTACTTTCTGCAATGCCTTGTGTTATTTTAATTCAAAAGCTAGTGTTACACACATTTTCAGAAGTTTCCTTTACCTATTAAACAGTGACAAAAGTCTAATTCCATGTATTAAATCTTCAGAAGCAAAGTTACAAAGAACCTCAGGGTACAGATTTGAGACTAAGTTCTAATGATGCGAGCCATTAATCAGATTGTCTACCGGTCACGGAAGTCACAAAAAAGTCACTGATTTTACAAGAGTAAGGAAGTGATTGAAAAGTAACGCATTTCAATTAAGGTCTCAAAAGTCATGGAAAATATCGAGCATAACTAAAATAAAGTTCCCCAGACCTGTCTTTGTTGTTAAATTCAGTATTTAGAACATACAAACACTAGGGCACAAAATATTGTAGGCGACATTAAAACGCGTGACCTTTGATACCAATAAGACAATACTATCTAAGACTGACAATCTCTTCTTTAAGTCACTCAAAAGTATTGTCTTATTGGTATCAAAGGTCGCGTGTTTTAATGTCGTTGTACACCCCCCCTATAGTCACTGGATAGGTAATTGAAATTTAAATTTAGTTTGATAGACTAGAACTTCTATAGGCCTACTTGAAACCTATTGATATTTTTGCGTACCTAGATAAACAAGGCGGATGATTCTTAGGCAAGTATTGTCCCTGTATATTAATTATTGGGTTTACTTATTATGAATTCTACACCCCATCTAAATTATTTTAAGTCTACGATAAAGTAAATCCCCTAAAATAAGTAGGCTACACCTGAAAATTAACCTGTAAAATTATCAATTATTACTGTCTAGTCTAAATGGGGAAAATCTTATCTATCATAGCTTATCTCCCTAAAATATATTTAGATTTACAAGCCCTAGCCCAGATGGTTGCATTTTTCTGTAGAATAAATAAGCCTATCTATAAAGTTTAAACTACTATTTAGCCTGTAGCATTGATTTTGTATGCAATGCATTATGTACTCAGTGGTCAGTGAGAAGTAAGTGAGAGGTCAGTGAATGTACCTATAATGATGTAAAGTTAAATGGAAAATAAGAGAATATCTGTCATTGTTCTGACGCAAATTGTTTAAACAGGTGTCTGAAATTGAGTCTGATGTAACTCTAAATGTTCTATCACGTTCTGGTTCTGTTTGTCATACATACAAGGTTATATGGTTGTTCAAAAAGTAGCTGATAACTTATCAAACACATGAATGTGTTTGTAAAATGTAATAACAAGAACAAGGAAGTGAATAATACTAGTGTTATGTTTTCAATTTATTCATATCCAAAATTTACATCATATTGTCTTTATCGTCTACATCTAAAACTTTTTGTTAACCTATATTACATTTAAGAACCATTTTGTATACTTGAGTTTACTATGATATTTTGTAATATTTTAATTTAGATTATATTACTATTATTGATAATCCCTAAAAAATTGTAATGGTAATGGGATCCTTATTTTTGTCTGCATGGTGCTTTATCTTTAGTTTCATGTGTAATTATTGTTATTTTAATGCGACTCTTGCTATTTTTAGGAATCAAAACCATCGCAAGAAAGCATGGTGGGGCAGACGACAGAGAGCATGGAACCCTGTTGGGCTTCGTTTTTGAACACAGACCTTGACACTAACATGGAAGACAAAGCGACACACTTTACTGACTCGCTTGAGAAGATTAAACCCTCACCGAAATTCCCCAAATTGGACATTGAATTGGCTCAAAGCATCAGTGAAAAAACTCTTGAAACGCCAGAGATTGAAATACCGTCTTTGGACATTTCCAAAGTCCCAATTGAAGATAAAGAACTCTTGAAAACATCAGTGGATATCACAAATGTGGAAAATTCTGAAAAATTTGATGCAGAGATGGAAATTGACAGTGACGGTATACTGATCGATGGAATCGATTGTGTTGTGAATGAAGAAGTGGTGGAAACTACAGAGTATGTTGACCCCTGTGAGAAGGCGATACCAAACATCGTACTGACAGAAGTTAACACGATAGATCTGATATCGGATGATGAAGGTATGCTGGACACAACTTTGCTAAAGCCAAACGACATCTTGGAAGAAAGCAATTCTGATTACGGTTATGAGTCTTACGACTCGCCTATAAGTGAACCTGAAGAATTGGTCAACCTGTTTCCTGAACTGTGGTAAATTAGCGTTTGTCTAATACGTTTATAATCTGTTAAAAAACAATGTTTTTTTAATGAGTATAAGGTTTAGCACAAGGTTACTTTATGTACATTAATTGTTAATTAGATAAGAAATATTTATTTTTATATTTATCTAATGTATTTTAAAGTCGAACATTCCTGATGTATATTATGTTTTTTTTTAATGACCACTGGTGTTTTAAGAGTTCTAAGCATCACTGTATTAATTGTTTTAGTTACTTTACTTTTTGTTACCTGGAAAGTAGTTTAGTTTGTATCATGAACAAGTGTGTCGCTTATCGCATGTTGTCTAAGAATAAAAATGTTCTTGAAAACCGAGTTTTTATCTTGCCTTAAAAATTGTGTAGGTTTAGTTGTGTAAAAAATGAAAAGATATTGGTTTATTTGAGATAAAAAAACTTATTTTTTATACATATTTTATTTTATCAATAAATTAAATGCAATCCTTTGCAATGTCATTGACTTGAAAATGTAAAATAATTCAAGGAGAATTCTCATCCTATTGTTAACCCTTGAAGGTTATTTTGATGTGTGTTTGGTGTTCGGTAATACTTCAGTGTTTAACGACTTGATTTTAGATGCATCGTAATGCATACTAACCAATTTCTTATAATTGTTTACACACGTGCAAAAGTAATGGGATTAGTTTTTAAGTGGATTTGAGATAAAAAGACAAAAGATTAAAATTTAACCTCTCGGTTATTAAAACTTGAGTTGTAATGCACTCAAAATGTGCTACCAGCCACTACATTTATGAAATGCTATCAGAGGATCTTACAAGTATTCCATAAACATATGTATTTTTATTTTCAAACTGTTTATAAGGTTAATCAATGATATCTATGACTGATGGCCTCACTACAAGCTTTGACAATTAATACATCTAGACATTCGATCCCCATGTTAAAGCTGTCATCGATGGTAGTTAATGTGAGCCACCGACAGATGTTGATTACTAATTTTCGTAAAATACACTCAGGCTATATATTTTCAAGTCAAACTAATTGAAAGACTTATTGTGAGTCATAGCAACTTTTGACCCATCAAATTGACCAGCAACACAAAATAAGGTATAAACTAGTATTTTAGACACTAGCGCATTCTGTGACTGGCTCACACAACTGGTCCATATAGATGGGATGTTGACTTGAGTACCCAATAGTCAATGGTAGAGTTTGACACTGTCTGCTTTATCTTATCACAGCTGTCACCCCATGTAACTTGTATTATTGACATTAGATACTGAACTGAAGTAGAATTCCTATCAATATGGACCAGCTGTTGTAGCCAGTTTTTTTATTGAAGAGAAACTTACGAACCTCATAATCCTGCTGAGAAAAGTGTGCTGCTTTTATAATTCTGTATTTTAAAACAGTCCCTTAGTACAATGAAATAACAAGAAACAAATTGTAAACAAAACACGACATCTATAGAAAACCGGACAGAACTAAGAGTAAAATTGGCTTCAGCTGTTCCATAAGGATGGGAAATCTACTAAGGGACTATGTTTTATCTATGATTTTAGCGAATTTCCTATATTATACTAGAATATATTTAGTGAATTTCCCATACAGGGAATAAGCTATTACTGAAGGTCTCATGGTAAGACCTAGTCCAGGGAGCAATTTCCTTTTTGTTTTGAGGTTCCCAGAGGCCAAAAATACCATCTATTTAATTTCATATCAAAACTAAGCTTTCCCAAACCAGCATGACCAGACTATTGGAACAGGTTTTATGGAGTGAAAATGTTTTTACCCTCAAAATATAAAACTTTCAATATCTTTCTAAACCATTTTGAAGATTATAAAAACACAAATTATTTGGTTTTTTGAAGCGATATTCTATGCTAAAAGGTTACAAAGAAAAGTTCAAAAACTGTAAATAAGGAGAATAAGTAAACTGTTTTAGTTTGCTTTATGGATAATTTTGCTCAAAATTGGAAAAATTTTTTATTTTATACTAAGTTTATGACATTTTCTAAAAACACACCTTCCCTGTAGCAGCAATATGGTATATTTATCTGTATTTTAGAAGGTATTTTCCCTGATGTTTTGAAAATTGATATGGTTGTGCCCATTCACAAGAAAGGCAATTTCAACCTGCCAGAGAATTTCAGACCAATTTTCTTTTCTGTCCTCTTACTCTAAAATTCTAGAATTTATTATTAAAGACTAGCTCTCTCTGTAGGCCTGTGGTATCAGGCCTCACCGCAGCACAACTGATGATGTTGATATGCTTTTCAGTCTTTTGACGATGGGCGCGCTTTGCTGGTGCCACTCTTTGTGACCTCAGCAAAGCCTTTGACATGGTTGATCATGACACCCTCCTGGGAAAGTTAAATTTCTATGGTGCTAAGAGGAAACTTTTTGAACTGTTTAATCATACCTGACCAGGCGTGGGCAGCTGGTTTGTATAAGTTATAGATGATCCAGTGTACAGCAATTGACCCATGGTGTACCTCAGGGCTCAATTTTTGGCTCCTTACTTTTTAATGTTCTCTATTTGTGTTTGGGGCAATGTGAAGGTGTTATCTGTTACGCAGATGATACTCCTCTCTTTGAAGCTAACAATGAGCTGGGAGATCTTGAGGAAGCCATGGAACGGTCTTTTGAGGGGGCATTGGCCTGGTTCCGAGAAAAAAATCAGTTCTCCGCTTTCAAAAGAAAGCAGTTAGAGTAGTAGCTGGTGCTGATTACTTGGACCATTGTAGACCAATATGAAATATTTGTAGCTTAAAACATAATGAAGCTATGTAACCTTTATATTTTTCAGTCTTTGCTCAAAATCAAGAAGGAGTCGGATTCTCTTGAGCTAAGAGGCGACAGTCATCCCTACAATATACGTAGGAAAAATTATCTTAATTTACCACATGTTGGGCTAAGTAAGGTTCAAGATGTCAAATGATGTTCTTGGTTACAAGTTTTTTAATAAACTTCCTTTTGTAGCTCGGAACCTGCCAGGTCCAAAATTCAGGAAAGCGGCTCCTTTTGGCAAACCAAAACGAGGTTACAAAAGGTACAATAAAGGTATCATCAAAAGAAGACTATGTAAGTAGATTTGATAAAATTATTAAACTGAGTGAAAGTGAAGTGTGCACTTTTGTTTCTCTGCATGGAGAGTTTCAGGAAATTTTTTTATATATTGGTAAGAAACCTTGTACTTGTACTTTGTCTTATTTCAAATTGACGATTACCAGTAGCCTTTGCATTTTGTGGAAATAAATTGTTTCTTGTAATTTATCATCAACTTGTCATAAATTCTTATAATTTTAAACTTGTCATTCTTAAAGTAAGGTCAAGAATAAAGTGCAAATTGTAAAATTTTGTATAAAATTTAGTTGATATCAGTGCATTTAACCAACCAAACATCAAATACAAACTAAACTTATACCTAAGTCAATAAATCATTTATTAGGCCAGATCAACATATACATGCATTAGCCAAGTCAAATTAATCTTAATTGATAAAACATATTGATTATCTTCCAGTGAAAACAGCTAATATTTTAACTTATTTAGAACTTGAAAAGCTAGGAGAATTCTACTTACAGTATCTAAAAATCAATGCTTATAGTTCTGGAACATGAAAAAGAATTTGCAGGTTTTATACAACAAGAGTATTTTTGCCATAGGATACAATACATTGACCAGATGTTATAAATACCCAAAAACCTGCTTCAAATAATGTAAACAAACACCCATTGTTGGGACTTTTCACAAATTTTCAGTTGTCTACAAACATAAATTTTCTGTGTCCAAAATTATTTGTGGAATTCAAAATTATTAGTTTTATCAATATTCTAATTCACCAACTAATTACAAAATGGAATTCAATGTAAGTATTATAAGAGTAACATTATAGTATTTTTTGTTAACTCTGATATCAAATATGAAATCAAGAAGTACAATAATTAAGCCTATTGAATAGGACTTAATTCTATGAGACCGACTTAAAAATCACAATATTTTTAATAATGTACCGATATTTTTTAAGACTTCAGTTATTCTTTAAAATATATATATTATTAAAAGAGTTTTCAAAAAATAAAAGTCATCAAATTATAATTTGGCTGCAATAAAATTACTCTATTGTAGGTACAGTACGATCTTTATATAGCTTCAAAGGCTAATAACATATTTTAAAAATCCAACGTAATTAATTATTGGATATGAAAGTAAAAAATAAGAAAAAGCAACAAATACATGGGAGCAAAGGTAACTTGACTTGGGTGCATGCATGTCCCGCCTTTCCAGCAATTGAAACGATTCTTAAATCATCAACATAACTATTAGACTCTTCACAGAAACTTCTTGCGTACAACCTTAGCTGTTTATGATGGTACTTTTGATATAACCAGAATGTTTGGGAATTTCTGTACATACTGCATAGCACAGCAAATAATTACAGTAGAACCTCTTTTATAACTGTCACTCTCGGGACCAGAAGCGTGACGGTTATGGGAATAGACGGATGACGGAAATCCTCTTGTAACTCTGTACAGTAAGTTAAGTAAATAAAACATATTTATATTTAATTACCTACCTATACTTTACAATAATACAGAACTGTTATTTTGAATGTTGTATTTGTTCAATGTTCGGACAAATCGACAAATGTGTTTTTAAATAAAATCACATATAAAAACAATCTAAGTACTGTTTCGGGGTGATGGATAACAAAGATTGAGGGTAAAAGGGTGACGGTTAACTGAGGTGCTACTGTAATCACAGAGAAAAAAAATCACGCTTACCTTTGTATCAATTTTAGTTCAGTGGCAATGATACCCGGGCCCTCAGGGCCCTAGGTGCGGGGAAGCCCACGAGCTGTGGGGTCCCGCTAGCCTTTACTGGGATTTTTCGGAAAATTTTACTGGGACCCGGACCCACAATGGGCCTTGCCATAGCAATATTTATATGAGTATTACTACATTCCTTTTACTACGAAACTTTGTTAAACCTTGAGAGATGTAGCCTATCACAAAGTCAGAAAATCAAACTTGAGCAGAGCTTGTACGACCGCAATAACATTGCGACCCCACAGAACGCATCAGCGAGGATCAGGCCTATGAGAATGAATGATATATGCTTTTGCCGCAATCAGGGATGTCAACGAGAACATTCCCCCCCTCGAGTGACGATGACAATGTCTCCGCAGTTGCAGGAGATATTCAACATTTTGCCGCATGAGGGGGAGCAGGGTAGGAGAGGATTTTGCTGCTATAGTGGAAGACAACATTAATTTTTCCTTGACCGTGCGAGATATTCAAGATTTTTACGCTAGGTATCGCAGAAGCCAAAGGTAATTTTTTTCACAGGAGTATTTAGAATTTTGCCGCGATTGCGAAAAAATGTGAGGTTTCTGTTGCGATGGTGGATATAAGGGATTTGGTCGCGTTCGAGGGAGACATGATATTGTCTACATGACCACACTATATATATATATATATGTATATGTCCTGGATTTGGTTGCAATCACGGTAGACGGTGATAATATTTTCCTAACTGGGTGAAGTAGTTGCGATTTTGCCGAGATGATGCATCTGTGCCTCAGGAGATGCCGTGCTGATCCAAAGTGCAAGCTGAATGTGGAAATATCTGAGATTATGTTAATAAAGATTATTTCGAAAGGGGGCTTGCGGTTCTTATCGCGGCCGTGTCTTAGTGATTTGCACTAAACACCCATTTACTTTAAAGAAAAAATTTGTGTTTGCTATTGTTTTGCTTACGGTGTTGTACATCAATTTCATTTCAATCATTTTCCCTGCATCATCGAGTTTATGTTTTCTCAGCGAGCTGGAAGCTGTGACCGAAGGGAATGTATCTCCATCCACATTGGCCAGGCTGGAGTACAGATCGCCAATCCATGCTGGGAACTCTACTGCATGGAACACGGCATTGACAGGGATGGCAAACTAACACAGAAAAGTGACGACGCACACGGTGACTTGGGCTCTAAATTTGGCTGTGACGCGTTCTTCTCCATCACGGAGAAAAATAGATATGTTCCCCGGGCTATCCTTGCTGATCTGGAGCCAACTGTCATAGGTGAGATTAACAAATATTCCATTATGTCTTTTGATGTTCAATACATTTTGATTTTGGCTGTCAGGAATAAAACATATGACTTAAAACTGAACCAAAACTAGTAGATATGTTTGCAAGCTTAATTCTTTTTAAAAACAGCTGAAGACTAGACATGATGTTGGTTTCAATTCAGTAGACATATCTATGAATAGTATAAATAAAAAAATTGGTTTGGTTTATACTTAGGTTCGCTGTTTGACCAATGGGTCTGATCTAGTAGGTATGGCAGTCTAAAGCATTGTCTCAGAAACCAGGAGGTTTACCTATTTAAAAGGTCTAGGCCTAAGCGGTTTCAATTCATTCTAGTGTAAGTAACTCAAGCATATTCTCCTGTTCAACATACATTGAGGTTGGCTTATATAGGTGGATGTTGATGGAACGGGTTGTAAGTTACTCTTCCAATCGGATATATTTATAATTTTGACCTTCAGTATCTCTTCTGTGAGCGAGTCTGCCAAAATAGGAACAAAATTCAATATCCATTTTTAAATTGTAGGCCTAATTTGTGTAGTAAAATGAATATTGTTTACGCCTATAGGCGTCCTATTGGTCCTGTTCAGGTAGTCATGCAAAAATCCAGTAAAATCATTCATTATAATTAAGGCGCCAAAATGTCATTAATTGTGCTTCACTTACACACATTTAAAACGATAGAAGGTTGAGAATCAAATTCATTAATACATTCTTTGAAACTTTGATCTATATTACAACCATGATAAACAAGAAAAATTTTTAAATTTAATGATGCAATCAAACTGTTTACAGATGGAAAATGAAGCAGAAATGCCAATTCATGAGTTTGTACCATCGATGAACAATGTTCATCTTATGCTTGTACTTTTGATACATTGTGTTTTGTATGTTTAAATTGGGTAACATTTGAAGCATGAGGGGCTTAGATCAATTTTCCCTGGGTGTCAATAGTTTCCTATAAGGAAAATTGCCACCGGCCTTGAAACTAGAAAACAATAACACCCTGTATAAACACAATTGTTCTTGATGACTCAGCTGAATGTACTGTTTCAGACGAGGTTCGCACAGGTCCGTACAAGGCCTTGTACCATCCGGAGCAGTTGTTGAGCGGCAAGGAAGATGCGGCTAGCAACTACGCTCGTTGCTACCACACCATTGGCCAACCCATGAGGGACGCAATCATGCACCGCATCAGCAAGATGACGGAGAGCTGTGATGGTCTACAAGGATTCTTTCTGTTCCACTCTCTTGGCGGAGGCACTGGGGCAGGACTGACTGCTCTGCTGTTAGAACAACTGGCTGCTGAATACCCCAAGAAGAGTCGGCTTGAGTTTCTGGTCTACCCCTCTCCAAAGGTGAGAAAACACATACGGCAACACCACTGTCCCGCCAAGCCAAAACAGCTGTTGTATTGATTTATGATGGAGCGTCTATGGAATGTTTATGTTTACACATTTGTTATTACCATGGCAACAGGCTGTACGGTGCGCAGTAGCCACACATCAACACCGCTATCTTGTATTAGAGGAGGCTATGATGGAGGTCATAGCTGGAGTATGAAGGGATTACAAAGTAGACTGGCTGAGTTGAAAGTACCTTGTATACCCATATGCCTATAACAAACAAATTTCCGTAGGAACTTTCTTAATTGATTCTGATTACTAAATAATGGTGTAAATACCTGCATTTATGTGATCAATTTGTTGCTAAAATGGTACATAAGTTGCTAAATTGATCACATAAATGCAGGTATTTACACCATTATTTAGTATTTAACTGTGATCAGGAGGCTAAAACTCAATATAATGATTCTGATTGTAATTGGACAAAGAAAATTTAAGTACTGAATTGAACTTGAAGGTGAAATAAACCCATGTGAGAAATGTCAATCCTTAGGATTTTTCAATATCTTGTACTTACACATGTGTAGAACATAATTATTAGGAATGAAACTTGCATGTCCAACCTTTTTTCAGGGACAGTTCCAAGGGGGGATACAGGGTCTAAAGCCCCTCTCCCCATTGGACCCTGAAAAAATAAATTTAAACATACAGTAGATTTCTTTCAAAAAACGAAACAGAGGTTTTTGGAAGCTGTTTCAGAGGTTAAAAATGGCTTTACAAAGTCACCAAACTGCTTAAAAGATTTTTCCCAGACCCCCCTTTCTTGGGTAGGCTAATGTGGAATACCCCACGATAGCCTCCCCCTTGACAAGGTCCTAGAACCACCACTGCCTTTTTTCACAATACCTCTGGTTTTTCTAATTTAGATTCTGCACACTTAGGTAGTTATTAATTAAATGCAAAAAACACATTGACCCATGCAAGACTGTGCCTTAAGGTTCCAGTCCCCCAGTGTGTGTATGTGCATTTAAATTTATTCCTGATCTTCTTTGTATATTTATTGGTTCTCTGGGCTATTACCAGTCAAAAATTGAATTTTGGACACATAGCTTAAAAGATCTTCTCTAAATGCTATTTTTCTATAAATTTAGCTTCACTTTTAAAGAACTCGACACAATCTATCAAACACTAATTGGACTGATGCTACTTCCAGGTCAGTAGCTCGGTAGTGGAGCCTTACAACAGCATCCTGATGACACACAAGTGTATGGACACTGCGGACTGTTCCTTCATAGTGGACAACGAGGCGCTCTACGACATCTGCACCGAGAAACTGGACATTGAGAGGCCGACGTTCACCAACCTGAACCGCATAATTGGACAGGTTAGAATACAGAGTGTTCATTGTCGGTTTTATTTGTGGGAAAAGCCAAATAAAAAAAAATGAAATAATAATATGCGAAAATGTACAAAAAGTGTAGTGTGTATTTATTTACAGTGCTTATGATTTGGGACCTCCCAGCAAAAATCTTTTTGGGGCCCCATAAAAAGCTATGTTTGTACATATAAGCACAGAAAACGTACTACTATAACCCAGAATGCCAACCGCATGGTAAAAAGCATTAAGCGGTTTGAGAGAGCTTTGCCTGTCAATCCGTAGGCAGCGCCACCAGCGTTGCCATGCAATAGCATAGCAACGCTGGTGGCGCTGCCTACGGATTGACAGGCAAAGCTCTCTCAAACCGCTTAATGCTTTTTACCATGCGGTTGGCATTCTGGGTTATAGTAGTACGTTTTCTGTGATATAAGTGAAAACAAATTAAAGGTTTTATATACTCTTAATAACCTTGGTATTTGACAGTGTGTAGGACTGTACATTTCACTCCCTAGCATAAAAAGTATGGTACAGAGGAAAATGGGATGACCGTGCGCTTTCAGATCTAGTATATGTTGTGCCGGGAATATACTTATGACAAGTAAGGAATAGCTTAAGCAGTGAGCACTGTGCAAAAATTCAGCTATGGCACAGGGCATAGGGTCTACCTTGACTGTGAGTGTTGTGGTACATGAGGGTGAGTGGGACAATGTTGGACTTTGCCCTATATAGCAGCACTGGTGCTAGACAACACTTTGGTGTACCAATGAATTTTTCCTCAGTTCCTTAATTCTCTGTGTCCCTTGTAAATATTCAAAGTTGTGTATAAAGTTCAACCAGAATGATTATGTTGTGATTGACTAAAATAACTTACACTGAAAGGATAATAAAGTCACTCTGAACAAAATGTGATGTTCCAGGCAATCTCTGCGGTGACAGCATCCATGAGATTCAACGGAGCTTTGAACGTAGACATGAACGAGTTCCAGACCAACCTCGTACCTTATCCAAGGATCCACTTCCCTCTCATCTCCTACGCACCGCTCATGTCAAAGAGTCGGTCGTTCCATGAGAACTTCTCGGTGTGCGACATAACCGCCTCCTGTTTCGACACCACCAACCAGCTGGTCAAGTGTGACCCCAAGAAGGGTAAATACATGGCGTGCTGTCTGCTCTATAGAGGTGATGTGGCACCGAAGGATGTGAACTATTCGATTGCGATGATAAAAAATAAAAAGACCATCAGTTTTGTGGACTGGTGTCCCACTGGGTTTAAGGTTAGTTTTAGTACAGTTAGTTAACACAGATTGTTATCTTACTTTATTCTACACTCTCCTTAGATTCATATTTATATACTATGTTCATATAATTAAGGCAGTTTTAGGGGAGGAAATCTATCCCCTCTGCTTGAAAACCCTTAAAACCTTTGATACCTTTAAAAAATATCCCAACTGTAGAGGTTTGCCAAAACGTCAATCAGCTGCACAACACAAGCAAAAAATATTGGTCGGAGATCTTCCCCTCAAACCTCCTAAAGTTTGTGAATGGACTATAGCTTTAGACACACACCTAGATGTGTGTTGCTGTCTTAAAATTTATTGTCATATCGTTTAATGATAATGACTCATTTATTAAATGTCAGATTAATGAGTGAAAACTGTATGTTTGTGTGTTAGTATTATTTATGATAAATTTCAAGCTGGAAGTCAATACAACCTCAATACAAATCTCTGATAACAATGCAGAAAAAGATTTACACAGGAGGGGGGGTTATAAAATTGAGACTGCAAGTGGGTAGGACAGAGTTTTTATTTTATTTTAGCAGCAAGCTGTACAATGGTCCCTATTGGTACATTAAAAATGTTTCTGACCTTAGGAATGTTACTTATTTTTCATAGAATTGTTTTGACTTGTACAGTGGTTGTTCTTTACACCAATTTTTGTTTCCAAAGGTTGGTATCAATTATCAAACACCATCGATGCCCGAGGATGGTGACTTATCACTTACCAAAAGAGCCGTGTGTATGTTGTCAAACACTACAGCCATCGCTGAGGCCTGGAAGAAGTTGGACAAGAAGTTTGATTTGATGTGGGCGAAGAAAGCGTTTGTACATTGGTACAACAATGAAGGTCTGGAAGACGGTGAGTTTATAGCAGCTAGAGATGATCTCGCTCTTCTGGAGATGGACTACCTCGAGGTTAACAAAAGTTTTGACGACTGCGACCAAACCAACAATGAACATTGAACCTCATCATAGAAATGCCTTGAAAGATGGTTATGTACCCGTTTATACAATGTTGTAATGTGTCAAATATAAGGTTTAAAGATAACGTGTGTTGTTTTGTTGTCAAATGTTGTGTTCTTATACCTTTTGTTTGTTTCGTATTGCAGTGTAGGTACTTTTTAAAAAGATTATTGCAAAGTGAGGTTGAAACTTTGTTTTGAGGGAAATTAATAGCTTGAGCTATAGCTCAGAGCACCATGCCAGCACATATTTAGTTTTGCGGAATTTCCCAAAAAAAGATTTATAATATGTATTTTTTTATTAGTATTTGTAAAAAACATACAAAACGCGCAATGTCAATCAGCGTATCTACGAGATCCAACTACCTTTTCAGCTACCAGAAAATTTTATTAATTTTCTGGGGGAAGGATACCAGTTCTTCCAGGCGGGGGTCTTCAAATCTGTTTCTAGTCTGGCTGGGCTAAGAATTGGATGTATTAATTAATTGAGCTCCAATTCAATTAAAAAATATTTATTCAAGCCCTTGAGGGCTGATTTAAAAGTGTAAGACAATTACCATAGACAAAAAGAATTATAAAGACTGTAAGCCGTGCTGTGGTTACCATGGTTACCATAGATTCTGGCGCACACCGCTGGGAGCGCCGTGTAGTTACGTAGCGTGTAGGCCGTAACTACATGGCGCTCCCAGCGGTGTGTGCCAGAACCTATGGAAACCATGGTAACCGCACGGCTACCGGTCTATATTTAATTCTTGTTGTAGCTATGCAATTACATAATTATGTAAACATGTGCTATATACCATTTGTTAATTTTTTATTGTGGATTACCCTGTCTTCATAGGAAATGTTGATGCACATTCATTTTGTAATCTTGGAAGAATATCAATTTGCAATAGCTCCAAGTACTTGTGGACTAATTGGACGATTTGTAAAAGTTCTGTAAGAGCTATGAAACGTTTTTAAAATGTTATCGAACTTATAAGATTTTAAATTATTAAAATCCTTTTCCGAAGAATTTATATTCGTCATTGGCTGCGAGGAATAATCACACTTTCTCCAACAATATTATAATGTTTTTACCTAGGATGCTCGGTACCAGCCCAGGATTATTTTTCATATTACTTAAGGCTATACCTAGAGTTTGCGGCACTATCAAATAGATAAAATGCATTGGTCATTTGGAGGGATTTTAACTTATGAGTGTAGGAGTTTTGCCAACGGGTATCAGGTAGAAAGGGTCCCCACCCATGAATTCCACATACTGCGGAGTTTTGCCAACGGTTGTGGGTTACGCGAGAGGGGGAGGGGAGAGAGAGAGAGAGATTACACGTGACCGTGAGGGTGGCTTCCGCTAGGGGTGGACAAACCAGGCAGGATGCTGACTGTGTTCAAAGTAATGGAGTTATGCACCTCTGACTGTGAACGGAAATGTATTGAATTTACCTAACCTAACCTATCCTAACCTAACCTAACCTAACCTAACCTAACCTAACCTAACCTAACCTAACCTAACCTAACCTAACCTAACCTAACCTAACCCACTGCGACAAGCGCATAACTGCCAAGCGTTGAAAACTAATTTCAACACATTTCACAACCCTGACAATCGCTCTCCCTCCCTCCATCACACGCTTTCTCCCGCCACCACAGTTGACAAATCTCCGCACCAAGAGGTGGCCGAAGGCATCCCCCCATCTACCTGACACCCGTTGGCAAAACTCCGGTTCCCTTAACTTATTGTTTCCTCAGAGACCAAAGTCACACGCTCTAACCACTAGAGACAAGCTCGCTCCCCTAACAATAATATAATAGCTTGTTTGTATACATTTTCTTTTTAGTTACATCATTATTGTTTATAATTGTGTGATTTAATTAGTTTAATTAGTTTAATAGTTAATTAGTACAGTATTTGTTTATTAAATTACATTAGTATGCCAACATTACAGAAAAAAATATATTTCAGTATCTCAAAACGTTTGCCATAAAAGATGTCAGCATGAAAAAACCAGTTTTTTTTTTTTTTTAATTAAATTTATTAGCTAAACTGTTTATTATAGAGAAAAGCCTCAAGTTTTTCTAGGGAAAACAAGGTGTGTACGCTCATTTTGGCTCCTCTTCATTCATGACTTTAGAGTGTTTTTTGATTCCATCGGACCTGAGTAAATTTTTGAATTCCATCGGGGAATATTTAAAAAAAACATGTCGGATCTGTAGAAAAAGTTTTATCTTTGCAACCATTCAATATCCCATTTTAGTTAACAGACCCGAACAAATTAAAAGTCTTTTGGATCTATTTACGATTTAATGAGCACCGGAGATGCTATTGGAGCTATGGGAACTTCCCCATGAAATACACATGTTGTATTGACTAAGCTATCTCTTCCTACTGAAGTAGATTAACATGTGGTATATCTCATAGTATGACATTGGTTCTACTTTCAATCCTGTCTGACCACAAACATGAGCTGTAGTGTCCTAGTTATTTTGCCCTTGCATTTACATATTTGGTGTAAATCAGAGAAAGTTGCCATTCATTTTTTCCCATGTAGCCTTGCAACTTCTTGGGAGGTGCAATGATTATTTTAGTCTTGTCAAATGTGAACTCTGTCTGTTAACGAACATTATTGATTTTTTTTATAACCTTGGAATTTAATATTCAATATTACTTTTTCAAATCTGTACACACAGCTTTGTAAGTGTTCCTTGATGCACGAAACGAGTAAAAAAATTATTAAACATTCATTGTTTTTTTTTTTTTTAATCTGTAACACTGCAGTAGTAAACTTACTATCCTTCCCAATTCCAATTTAATACTAACTCTATAATAGACTCCTCAAAACCACAACTTAAAACAAACTAAACTTGATCCTACCAACAATTTTATGTAGTAGATTCATAAAATACCAATAAATTCATAAAATACTACTATACAGTTTACATATGCTGATTCGGCAGGGGACTTCAGTAGTGCCTGATTAACAAGCACCTAAAAATAGCCTACGAGGAAGAGATACAAGTAAATAATTTGAAAATGAAAAGGCTACCTTTGACTATAATATTACCATAGAATAACCCACACATGTTTTATCTATGCCACTATTATTTTTTTATCAATCATGAAGGTTATAGACCATGTCATTCGTTTACAATTATTGTTCAGTACTACTCTCTGTAAACAAAATTTAATTCCAGATTAGTGGGGTTATTGTGTTAACTGATTACTTCGAAATTGGCAAATTTAATTTTACTACTTGAAAAAAATATATATCTGATATATAATACCCTTATTGCCATCGATATACACATTTTTTTTGATAAATTTGAGTGGCTCGATTATATTTTACAACAAGTTTATGTTGCTATAAACAATTTTGCTAATTATTGGTTTTGTTTGGTGTGTAGATTATTTATCCATCTTAACATACATAGGCCCTATAATAGTTAATATAAACTAAAAATAATTTAGAGGTTAACTGTAAGAAGAGACAAGGAGGACCTAAAAGTTACACTAAACAAGAAGCATTTTAAATTTATTTCAATAGTAATAAGTAATACACTAAACTAAAACTAACATATTATGAACATATACAGGGTGTTTCCAAATTGTCTGGCCATATTTTGTGGACTCGCTCCTTGGGATAAGACAAACATAAAATGCAATATTAGTATGGGTGTACACATCCTAGATTACTACTGTTTGTCGGTCTGTTTGTGATTTTTGAGAATTATTTTATATCTTAGAAATTTTTCAAAATTGGTATAAATGTGAAGTTTAATAGGTAAAAAGAGCTTACAAAGTTTCGTTCCAATATCTCGAGCCGTTTCAATATGGCGGTCATTTAAAATCTTTAGTGCCAAATTTCATGAAAACAGTAAATATTAGGAAAATCGTTTTACAAATAAAAAAGATTGAGAATTTAAATCCAAATCAAAAGAGACCTTGTTTGTTAAAATCAGATGACAAACAACCAAGTTATCAGTTTTTTTCTACATTCGATTATGCAATATAGGACAACAATACTGCTCTGTAAAATAACATAATATGGAAGTCCTATTAAATTGCATATCTGAATGGAGAAAAAAATGGTCTCCATCAATATCTCAAGCCGTTTCAATACGGTGGGCCGCCATATTGAAACGGCTTGAGATATTGAACCGAAACTTAGTAAGCTCTTTTGCCTACAGTATTAAAATACACATTTATACTTTATGTTTGAAATTTCTATCTCAAAAAATACCCAAGATATAAAATAATTCTTAAAAATCACAAACAGACCGACAAATAACATAAATTTTAGCATTTTAGACCCATACTTATATGGCATTTTATGTTTGCCTTAGCTCAAGGAACAAGTCCAGTAAATATGTCAATTCAATTTAGAAACACCCTGTATAAAACAGAACGTAGTAGACACAGACATTGTTAACTATGAACCTGTGTGTTAGGAATTCGTGTGAGGTTATGGTTGCGTGTGTATCGGTGTACATCAACAATGGTTACGGATCACTTTCGCTCACTTTCACTGATCGTAGCACAAACAGGTGACTGCTTCTATTGAGACGATTGAGACACGCACGGATATGTGCACAATGTAACCATGTGTAGTTTCAACTAAACGGACTAAAACCCCCAAACAACGTTTTTCTGCAGACACATAATCACCTCAATGTGCATCTGCACATTCTCCAGTCTCGACAACTTTGCACAATATTTGTTCATTTGCTCACTACAACGTATTTATGTAAAGAAATTTTTAATAGAATGTTTTACTGAATTTTTTAACTCTTTTCATCGTTTTTCCTACATTCGTGTTATCTCCACAACGAGTTTTTAAAGGCAAAAGGTTTCCATACCGAGTCAATGTTGATACCATCGATATCAACTAACACACACACACATCAATTAACTAAAACGATATAGTTAGAACTATAGACTATATACATCGATGGTTGATTCTTATAACTCTTCAAAATATGTTTCTGCAGGACATCAAATTCATATAGACTACATCAACAATCTTGCCATCCACGTCAATCCTCACATTAACATAGACATCCACATTAAACTCGACATACACATGGAATA